CATCCTCATCGATGAGCATTTCTAGCGATGCTGACTTCATTCTCTTGTTCTGAGCTCTCTTCCAAGAACGCGGAGGCTTTCTTCACGCTAAAAAGTTTATATCAAAAAATGAACATCGAATCAAAAAATTTTCATGATAGCTAAAATTAGCAAATCCAATGCTTGTCAAGTCAGACAAACTGAAATCATTAAAAGTGAATGCAAAGGAACTATTAAAAAAGCATTAAAAAGTTACCTTCGCACATTCCGCCATATAATTCTAGAAAGCTTCACGCATAGGTAAGTAACTCTCCGAAAATTTGAGCACATCAGAAATGTTAGGTGTTTTGTGTTGAACTTCATGAACCATCTTCGGTAATCTGAAAATGCTGTTTGATTTCAATGGATTAATAATATGATTGTGTTGAAACGCAATCACGTATACGATTCAACTTTTTCGAAATATTCATGAATTCTTACAAATAGTACAATCATGATTCATATGAAAGTGATTAGACTTTTAATTGAAAATGATCAAATATACTAAAGTGTAGCAAACTATTAAGGAAAAATTTCGTGCTAAAAAGTTGCGGGATTTGGTAAATTTAAAATTATCAATTGCATCATACATTTATGTTTGGTATAATAATATTTCAATGCATCTGCGGAATTATTTTTGCAAATACTTTATTTCTGAAGGACTAATTTTCGCACTAATATGTAAAGAAAATGAAGGAATCTGATTCCATGCGCTTATCTTTGCACTGTTTGGATGAAAGCTTTCAACAGCTTAGCGTTGTCAAACAAGTGACAGATTAAAATCAAAAAATTCAAAAAATTTAAGAGGATATATGACGTTATAAAAAATACCATTATTTTCAAATATGAAAGGTAATAAATTTCATTAAAAACTTCGCATTCACTCGTAATTGAATCTAACGTAATACAAGACTGAAATTTCAAAGCATAGTTTGCCAAATAGCTTCGGAATCTTTGATAAATCTTTCTGAAGTACTAAAATTCTTGATTCAGCCATACATTTCTATTTTATTTTCATTTTATGTTACTATCAAATTTAAAGTTTAATTAATTTGTTATTGCAACTTATTTCCTTCGTACTTTTTCAATTTTTATTCTCTTAGAATAGCACTAATAATACTAAATTGAATTATCTTTAATAATTCTATTCTTAAAATAAACCACATTTTGGTACTTTTTCACCAAGCAAATTTTTTAGCCTCCACAATACAAGAAAATTGAATTTGTATTGAACAGAGCACAAAAGTTTGAAAAAAGGAAAAAAATTTTGTATTTTAATTATACATTTGTAAAGTTTAATAACAAAATCATCAGAATTTCAACTTTGCTCCTTATGTGTCCCTAGTCCAGCATATGTGTGTTGTCCGTAATGTGTGCCTAGTCCTGTACGTCCGTGTTATTTCTTATATGATCTTAGTCGCGCATTGTTATTATCATTAATATTAATATTATTATTTATTATTAATATTAATATAATATTATTGTCACTATTATGAATTGAAATCTCCTAGTCTCTGATTAAAATAACAAAAAAACACTGATAATGAGGCAAAAATCAGTAATTTTGTTTTCAAAATCATCGTTAAATTTTTTTTTAATATGAAGAAAATCTTTGACATGAAAAAAATAACTTATGCAGTTTTGCCTTCATTACTGCTGGAATGAAGTAATTCTAATGAGCGTTAGAAAATAGTCTGAACTGAGTGATCAATTAGCCAGAAGAAATGTAGTCTAATTACCATGTTCTGTGAGTGAAAAAATACAAACAAGGTTCATTTTTTACTAAAATAAATTTTAATTTAAAAAATGTTTTTGATTGCAAAGCAATAGTAATGATAATAATAATAATAATTAATAATAATAATAATAATAAATAAATAAAAAATAATAATAATTATAATTATAATAGTAATAATAATAATAATGAAATATTCATACTATCTAGCATCAATCTACTCACTACTTTGCCTCTGAATCGGTAGTTGCAGACATTATCAAATGTATACTTCGCCTTGGTGGAAATATAAATTAATTGCTCATTTATTTGATTTCATTTTTACAATTTTGGTACTTTTCATTGGATTTTATAAAGTCAATGAGACGGTATCAAAATGGTATACTGGTAGTGTTTTGGCAGCTTGTGCTTTGAGCGGTTTTTTTACAATGCTGAGACTAATCTTCACAAATTTATTTTCATCTTTCGTTACATTACACTCACTGCAAGTTTTTTATTTTCATTACTTTATTAAATTTTTTTATTATTATTGAAAAGCACATAACACCATTTTATTGATTTCTTGCATACAACAACTGATCAATCGCTAAAATTCAAATTAAAAACCTAAAAACCTTATCTTGGTTATGATTGGGATATGGTATACATTATATACGCTTTCAGTGTTTCGTTTTTTGGTCGTTACGGTTTTCTGTGGGAATTTGCACTGACTAATATGATAATGACATTTTCAATATTGGAAGTGTACTCTATATACAACCGCGAGAATAAACTACTTTCAGAGTTATACAAAAAGTTTGTGTGTAATTTTGATATCACTTTAATATTATAAATTTTCAATCATGGTTTTTGATCAAAAATCTTTGATTTGAATTTATCACACGTCAATTTCAGACGTTCGTTTCTTCGTTGGTTTATTCATATTGCTTCACAGTTACTATCATTTCCTCTATCAATAGTCGCTGTGCTTTTTCCTCAGCTCATTCCAAGTGTTCTTGTAATTACGATTATCATAGTGGATTCTATTTATATCTCTTCAATCATAATTGTTATTATGGTAGCTCAGTTCATTATTCTGTTGGCACAATTCTTGGTGCCATTTTAATTCTTATATAAATTAATTACTAACTTCAATTTTGCAGTTTAGAATACCACAGATTTTATTATTTTAGTTTTTAGGCGATCTGTGCAGCTTATCACCACAAATCTCCTAATAGTCATCACATGAAGCGACGACTAACAATCCTGATTTTTTATTTCGTTCCAATTATTATTTCAAATTTACCAGATACAGGTATTTAATTTTTTGCGATCCAAGATGCGACCTGAGAACATTGTTTACATTAAAAAAAAATTTGAATTCTAAATAATACAAAGCATAATTCTGCAGCGTATTTAAATGCACTTGCAATAACAGTCTCTCTACAATTCAGTAGAAGATTCGTACTTACATTGAAGGCGGTGGAATATTTTTCAGAAGCTGTATGTTTTTCACAAATTTCTTTTTTTTTTTTTGAAAAGAAATTCTTTCAGCAATGCTATTGATATTGTTAGCATGAATTATTGCTTAAATTCAAATTAGCACATTCAATTTTGATAAATTATAATGATATATGCAAATTTTTACAGATACAAATGTTCATTATTCCACTGTGTACAATAATCGTCGTGCCTCCTTTCCGCAGAGCTGTACTGGATTTCCTTTACATTAAAAGAAAACATAAGGTACACGTGATAATGCTTGGTTCTACTACTCAATTATACAATGATCGTACAGATAGATCTAAATGATCAATGTAGATAATAGACACTTTTTGATCCCACAAAACTTCTGTTCATATAAACAACCGTTTAGAACTATTTTCATGTTCTGTAATGTACACACTTATCGTACATTGGTATTTTGACCTCCCTCTGCATTGGTGTTTTATTATCACTATAAGTGACTGGTAGTTATTCTTAAAATGATAGGTTATTTTTAGTAAATAAAATATGCTTTTTGTTTGCTTACAATAACTATTTCTGCAGATTAATTCTTTTCATAAGTGTAAGTTATTATTTTGCTAATTTTTTAAAAACGACAGATCATATATAGTCAGCGAAAAAATACCATGTCAATGCTCATTTTTTTAAACCGATCACTTCAGAGGCAATAAATATCACATATTAATATCCCAAAGTTTGATAAAAACTGACACGATAAATTATCAAAATTACAATAAGTACACGTTTGTATTTGTACCGTACACCATTTAAAGTTATGTACTTAATTACAGTTTGTTTCTCATGCTTTTAGTGTTATTTTTTGTTGTTGCTAAAGTTCGAGTTGGTATGCAATATACTGAATTATGACGTGGTTATGTATAGAAAAAATAAAAACACGTATATACACTACTTACTTCAAAATATTCAAATAAGTTTGAAAATTCAATCTGATCTAACCAAAAATTAGCCAGATATTATATACATCTTATTCAAATACAAAAGTTTGTAACTGTAAATCCGCATTATTTCATATACAATTTTAAAAGTTTTCGAAGAAGTATTATGTGACTACAAAACTATTTATATATATACATAACTTGTTATGAATCTAACTGCTTACGACTTTAAAGGATTTCCTTTTTTGGTGATACATGGTCACGTTCAGCAACACGTAAAAAAATTCTAGTTAAGCATTTAAATAATGATATATAAACCAGTCTATAATTGCACTCAGATACATAATCTTAACAATTTTCAATTAATATTATTAAAGAGTTATTATTCATTCAATATTTAACATGTGTTCAAAAAATTAAATTACAGTATATAAAAACCATTTCTCAAAACTAATTTATAAGCTTCAAAATCTTTTAATATGTCTAAAATAATCAGCTCAAAGTTAACATTCATGAATTAATGCAAATTGCTTAATAGTAAAGATAATTTTACAGCATACTATTTCATATTAAAACTGATTATCGATAATATTAGTAGATTTAAAGTAATTACAAACAAATCAAATTAAAACTAATTTCAGGTTTTATTCAATTTAATACATTTGACGTTATTGCAAATGACATGAAAGCAGAAAATTAGAGTAAAATTAAATTATTAAAAAAATTTGATACTGTTAAACACTGTTAATACTATTTAATACTGTTTAATACTGTTATTTTAAGAAGGAGAAAATGTATGCGTAGTACAGGTAGTAGCCAAGCCTAATTCAAGCTAATATTGCATCCTCATATAATACATACAAGTACTATGAATTGAATCCCTCGAGAAGATATGTAAGGCAAAACTGAAAAAACTTCCTAAACAAATTTTCGGCCTTATCATTGTACCGATCTTGCAATACTTCACTAACCATATACAAAAATGGTTCTTCCAATAACTGAAATTGACCGCCATCCATCCCCATGACCTGAAATCATAACCTTATTTCAATATTTTTAATACACTTTTAAATATTCATTTTTGAGCTCCATTTTTTCTAAAATTAGTTATTCTTTATAATTTTCAAACAAAAATATCTATAAGAAAAAAATTTTTAAATAATTCTAATTTTTTAATCCAATTTTAGCTTATTTCTTTAGTTGTTTGAATTGCAGTCAAAAATTTAAATAGTTGCACCATTAGTTTCTAAAATAGTAGCTCAAATTTTAAATATTTTGTTATTATTTTATAAATTGTGTTTGATTTTATTTCGAATTACTAAGACAAACTAAAAATTTTAATATTTTTTATATGTGATTTTTCAATCAGCTGATTTTACTTTACTTTACTTACTTGAATTTTTCTTAGTCGGTTGACTACTTGATTACTTTTATATCTAAAACTCAAAAAATACTCAATATTTATAATTGTTTTAAGTGATCATTTTAACTAAAATACTAAATTTTGGATTGTCTAATTACTTACTTTAGCTGATCAAACGCGCATTTTATTCCATAACGTAATTTTTTATCAATTATATAAAACTAAATAATTTTAATAATTTTTACGTATTTCCCTATTATTGCGGTTGTTATTAACAATATTATTTTAAAACTCTGATTTTGTATGTTGTGTTTCAGTGTGTCCTTCCCTAAAACATTTTTCTCATCATAATTTTGTCCGATTATAAAAATTTAGAAAAATATTTGAATTCAATAAGTTTATATAAGAAATTATATTGAAATTCTTTACTAAAATTCGTTTTTACTTAGTTTAAATACTTTAATCAAAACTTAATCAAGTTTTTAATTAAGGTTTATCCATATGAATACAAACTATGCGGATTCTTCAAATTAACTAACTTTATGTTTATGCATTTTACCAACTGAAATAAGCCGAGAACAGGCATCTGCAACATCAGTAGGTTTTTCTTCAAGTGTTGTCAGCACATCATCAAATACCTATATGGTAAAACTAATAAATTCACAATTAAAAAAAAATTTTTTTCAATTTATGAAAAATATATAAATTTCAAAATTCAATATTTCGAACTATTTTTATTCTCTTCTCCAAATGTTGTCCATTTTTTCACATATCTTTGACTTTGATTCTTAGTTTTGCATTGCAGTTAATGTTTTGATCTAATAAGCTTCATAAACACTTTTTCTATTAGCTTTTAATTCGGATCAGTTTAATAATTATGTTCATAAAAATATGCTAATTTATTCTTTGCACTACTTGTTTACTTCTGTGATATCCAAGAATTTTTCATCGAACTTTATTAAGTTTTCATGCGATCACTTCTGTTTACATTCAGATCAATTTACAAGCCTTAATAATTTAAGGTAATTAAAACCTTCAAATAATTCGTTGCAACTGCTTCAAAACCAGGATCTGTTAGTGTAGCACTTACCATATCCACATCAATATTCTTAAGTTTTGCATAATCATCTTTGACTTCTGGATTTTGTTTCAAGTATCTATGGTTAAACAAATTTAGCATATGAATTAAGAAAAATAAATTTTGATATCTTACTAAAAACTTTAGTGTTAATAAAAAATTAAATAATTATACTTTATCAGTAAACTGATTATTTATTGAGGTAAATATGTATTCATCTGTTGATTATTTGTATGAATTGATTGGATTCAAAAAAGAATCCTTAAGTTAACAAACTTTTACACTTTATCAAAGTCAATTTTTAAACCATTTATCATCACTTGCAGTCATAATTCTGTAATTAATCGATATGCAAATTTGTGTAGAAGAATTTATGTGAAAAAATTTTGTCTTCAAAAAATACAAATACACAAGTCAATCCTCGAAGTGATAAATTAAAGTTTAATTAATAAAAATTAAAAAACTTTTGATGTCTACTTTAGATTTGCATTGCTAATTTCGGTTTTCTTTTAAAATTAATTTGCTTAATTAAATTATGACGCCAATTTGCTTTCTATATTATCTTTTTGCACCAATAAAGCCATAGCAATAAATACAATATTTAGAAACAAATTAACTTTTAATTATGCATATCTTTCGAACGATATGCAAAAATTCCTTGTCAAATTTTTGAAGAAATAAGTCTGAACTAAAACAAAGCAAAATAAATCATTCAAATAGAATAATTTTTTGTTAATAAAAAAATACTGACTTTGGATAAGCTTCAAAGTGTTTCACTGCTTGAAACACCGTTGTCAAAATTTATATGTATAATAATTTGCAGTGACTTAACAGTCAGCAAAAAAGTTTGATTTTAGAAGTTTTACTTGAGAAACTGAAAATTTTGAATTATAAAACTGCACAAGTTTTCAAAAAAATAGTTTAATTTAGTGCCAAAGTCTAAAATTAGATGTTTGAAAAATAAAGTGCTGTTAAAAGCAATAATTGAATTTAGAGATTTATTCACTTACAACATTTAGTTTTTTAAATACTTTTTTAAATTCAGGTAATTCAGTTTGAACATTCAAAAAAATAGCGTCACATCAAGATAAAAAATATGACATTATCAATTTATTAAAATTTAAGTTTAAAGTAAATAGATAAGATACAAATTTTTGTTGCAAAAAACTTAGAAGGGTTAACTTTTTTAAGCTTACAAAGAAGAATTAATTGTGGAAATCAGTATATAAAAATGAATAAAATAAAAAATAAAATAAAAAATAAATAAATAATAAAAAATAGTATTATTATGTAAATTATAATTTTGCATTAATAGCGACTATGAAACAATTTATTTGTGATAGCCACAAAAAATGTTTAAAAGTTAAATTAATTCAAATAAAATCAGCTAAACTTTTCAAAATTTATGCATATTCCAAAGATTGAAATTCCATGTGTTAATATCATTGTCACAATAAATAAATTAATGCACTAAATAAATGTGCAATAAAATTCATTGTTGTTTATAAAATTATTACGTCATTTATGATAAAATTGTGATATTGCGCAGAAATAATTACTTTGAGATTAATGACAATTTCTGATATATATATATATATATATATTGTAGTTGTTTAGTGAAAGTGAGAGTAATAAAATAAATAACAAACTTGAAAAAATCCAATAGTACTGCTAATGTCTTTCACGTAAATTGGAACTTACTAATGCAAAATGTTGCGTGTCGCAAAATCGAGAAATATCACCTGATGAATTATTTAATATGGCAAAATTTGTTTATAGGCTGACAAGTTTTTACGTGTTGATATTCTCTTAATGAATAAATCAAAAGCTTTAATATTTATTTTTAATTTTAAATTAAATCAAAATTTAAAGCATAAACTTACTTTATAATAGCGTAAATATCTGTAATATTTACTAGTATATGTAATTTTTATATAGTTAATTTTAATTTGCTTCAAAACTTATTAATCAATCAAAAAATTATGCATTACTTTTTTTTATTTATTATAATTTAAGTAAGGATCCGTAATTTTTCAATTTAAAAATTTTTGAAAAATGAAACAAACTTGGCAAACATTGTTTTAGCACAATCACGTTCGTTTCGTCTTATAGTTTTCCAATAATTTTTCAACGTAAAAATTTCACGGAATTGTTGATATGGTAAACGTAAATCCATTTTTTGCTGCGCATCATTTTCATTATTTCCATCACCTATATCTTCAGCTCTAACAGCTGTTGTGTTTTTACTTCGAGCTTTATGATGAATTTTCGATGAAGCTGCTGCACTGTTTCCAGAACCCATACTCTTTCAATACTTAATCTGACTTATATAAATGATTCAAAAAATTCTAAATTAATACCGTATTTTCTTCAAATTACTCTCAAAATTTCAATTTTTCAGCAATAAAGTTTTAAAATATCTTAATTACAAGAATAATCAATAGTCTTGAACTTAAAACTCAATAATCGGTAATCAATAACCGGTTTTTCACTATTTATCAGCATTGACAATTGGTGAGTATATTTGATCCAATCTATTGCATTTAACAAGTAAATGCAAAATTAAACCGATTGATTTAAGCAAATTTATCTGATAAAATTTGTAAATCCTTGTAGTAATAATCGAAATTTGATAAAAAAGATCACTGATTTTTGAGTAAACTGCAAATTTATAGAATATTCAAAAAACGTAAAAATGAGCTAAAAACTTAAAAAATGGATATAAATAAAACTAACCTCATTTAATTTTAAAAAAATTTGCATATTTTTAAAAGCAAAATATCAGCAAATTTTTACTGTATAATAAAAGACATGCATCGCTTGAAAACGATATATTTTAATCAGTATAAAACTTGAATAATTTTTAAAAAATTAGTTAATTCAAATTTGATGTAGAAAGCATTTTTTTACTATAAATTTTTCACAAAAAAAATACATAATGTTTAAAGTTAAATTTATATGAAAAATGCATCGGAAAGAGACAGATAAAAATAAGTTCAAAAAATTAGAAAGTAAAAAATAAGTAATCAAACATTAAATAATCACTATTAAAAATACTTGTTAGCATTTATTCCTGGCTGAAGCTGTCATGACAACGATAGATTTAATATGGATCTGCAAAATATCCTTTATTTCTACAAACTTTAAATCACTTAATGTCAAAGTTTTCAGCTAAAAATAATAAAGATTCATTTCAAAACTAATTAATTAAATCAGTTGAAAGCTAAAAAATTTAATTTAATTTCAACTATATAGATTATAAATTTGACAAATAAGAATAGTTTTGCAAAAATTCTACAAAATTTTTTGAGGCAAAAAGTTAAAAAAATTTTTGATAGATATAAAAACTCAAGTGAAAAGCGCAGAATGTTATGTGATATGACAAATTATCGCATTAAAACATTTCCCTACTAAAAAGATAAACGTAAAACTTTAAAAAATTCAGAACTAATCCAGTTGAATAAATAATGATTTGCGATATATTTAGTGAATTAAAAATGAAAAGTTAAAAAATTCAAAAAAGTAAATTCAAGAAGTGACCCGTGCGCCATACTTTTTCACTTACGCTAATTAACAAAGTAGAAGAACTTGAAAAGACGTTCCAAGTACGCTATTAAGTAATAGTAAGTGAACTGACTTTCAATATAATTTTATGAGACTTTTTTAATGATCTTATAAAAATAAAGCATAGTTTATTGCTTTTAAGTAACTTAATCGTTTTCTCAAGACTTATGCTTCACGCTGACTGTGCAAAAGTTTAGGTAATATTTCAAAGATAATATATATTATTAAGATAATGTGTTAGCAATAATATGTTATCATGATCTTTTAATTCATAATTTGACAAAAATAATTCTTCGATATGATAAATTATGATATTGCAATAACATCAAAAGAATAAATATGTTTTGATTAAATTAATTAAGTTATCGATAAGTGGATAATAATTTGATCTGTTTATATTGTGTAAAAAATAATGATGAAGCATTTTTTTAATAAACCTTTGAAACATTATTTTTGCAGATTCTACTTTTTTGTGATCAATAGATTTTCAATAATTTTTTAATGCACAGAATTCCCGGTATATCTCAAATCCTAATCGTTCATCAATTTCCTTAGTCGGGTGCAAAAGTGATATGATTTTTTGAATGATCACAAAAAAGTGGAATCTTCAAAAATAATGTTTGCGTTTAAATATTTCAAAAACCGCCATCAATTTGATTTGTTCCAAATGCTGAAAATAATAATCAGGGATTTGCATACATTTTCAGACTTGAAATTTTGCATAAATAACTAGAAATTTGCATATTCTGAGCTAATCTTTTTGTAACACTAGTGTTTTTAATTAATTGGCACTTTTATATATTTATTTTTTAATAAAATAAAGCTAAAAATTTGAATCTCAAAATAAACGACTTGTATTAAATAAAGAATTTTTAAAAAATAGAAGGGTTAGTATTATAAACAAAAACTATGTGTAGTATTCATAATATAAAAAGAACTTCAAACTAATCAACACTACAATTTTAGTTAAATTTTAAACAAATCTTTAAGTCTTATTTTAAAAACTTATCCGTACACTTATTACAAAAAATAATATTTATTATTATTATTTAAATTATTTAATTCACTAAAATTTAACGTAATTTATACTTTTAAAAAACTTACCTCTGATTAAAATGTGACAAACTTTAGTAATATGTGTAATAATCATTGTGTTAATAATTACAATGAAAATATTATTTTACTTAACTTTTTCAGTGAATAATTTGTTTGGAAAAAAGTTATTTTCCAAAAAAATGACAATAATTGTTTAGAAAACTGAAAATAATATTTTATTACTACTAAAAATTTTACATTTCAATCAGTGTGTGAATTATTAACAGTACAAATCAGTCTATCACGTTAATTTTATGATAATTTCAATATTTAGCAAAAAGAGAATTCTTATTATTTTAACTTCGTTTTCGACAAAGGTGGAAGTAAATTTTAATATGATAACTTTGGAGAAATTAGCATTTCTCAAACTACAGTTAGCATTAATCTTTGACAAATTAAACAATTTTTTAGATGGTTTTATTCTAATTTTTTTGTCCCTATACTATTATTACAGTAACTTTCCTACGATAATATTGAAGAGTATACAAAACTAACTATTTACTATTACTGTAGAGAAGACAACATAATCAAGTGCCAATTTCAAGATTATTTTCAAGAAAGAAACTTAAAGGCACGAAAATGTCTTGAAAGATAAGTATGATTTTCGCATACAATTTTTTAAACTCAGAAACAGATTTATGCTCTTGATTTTATGAAGACGCAAAAAATATCTCCGTGACATCACGCAAAAATATTCTCTACAAATACATTTCAAATATGTTTTTTTAGAGTGGAAAATTTTTTTGCGTGCGCAAACTCATCAAAGTTAATTAAAGTTTTGTTAAGAATTTGTTTTTGGGTTCTTGAATTATTGGAAATTTTTCCATTTCCTCAAATAAGCAAATAAAATTATCTGAGAATTTTCCCGTAAATAAGTTTCGTTTTTAATTTCTATATTATTATTAAAAATTGCCTTCAGACATATTCGGTTTTAATTTACTTTTCTTAAATAAAGTAATTGCAGTAAAAGTATTCCAAATAACATTTACAATTAATGATAGGTTGTTATCACTGAAGTTAAATCTATTTTCTTTTGTGAATAACTCTAATTATAAGTATTACTAAATTTGCTTATTTTATACTTGTCATTAATTAGTGATTTTATGGATGACACTTTTTAAACTTTTTAAAGTCCTATGGGAAAAAAAATCAAGTATTTGTGCTATTACTTATACTAATATTTTTTTAACTTTTTAAATTTTCCAAAGTATTTCATAAAACATAATACTAGCAATAGGAATAGTACTAGTACCCATATAATTATCTGAATTATTATTAACTTTGATCACAACATTACAAAAGTAGCTTTTCACAAAATCCGAATAAATTTATTCGAAAATTTAACCGTCTATCACCATGCTAATAGATGAAAACATTATGAAAACGAAGATAAAAACCACGATTCTTATAAAGACAAAGATTTTTCCAATACTAAATTAAGAGAAAAGTCAGCTGGAAAAACTAGCAGCTTATTCAATTAGAGGATGAAACTGCATACGAGAAATAATTACTACACACACTTACGAAGAAATGATTTGACAAAGAAAGTGAAATTATTAGAAGAAACAAATAGAACTAACCCAGAACATGCTGAAGGAAATTTATATCCCAAAAATTTAACTATTTAGTTTATATTCAAGACTGCAATAATGATAGTTAATATTCTTTCCAACAATATTGAATTTCTGAGCGTTACAAATAAATTTGTTAATCATATCGAGAATTAATAGTGGTAAGCGCAAATCACCGCAAAAATGACAACGTATACAAAGTTCAAATTAAATACAATTATTTATATTTCCGTACTTTAAATTTGATGAATTTCATTGCAAATCATTCCTCTGAATGTTTTCTATTCATCAAAGCATCACTTTTTTTTCAAATCCAAAACTTTTTCACAACTAAAAGACCACCCAGTTCAGCAGTACGATCCTAACTGCTTTATCGAATATCGAAAACATAATGAACTTCAAAGCGCATAGTAATTTAAAAAACTGAAGCTAATTATATTTTCTCATAATGTAAATAATTGAAAATACGAAAGCATTGCTAGAAAAAGAAAAAATTATACCATGTATTTACACAAATACTAATTTATGACAGTATACAACCACTCTGATTACTGGGATCACACTCTGTTTCATAAACTTTCTCTTCTCGAACTTGTGGTAAAGTTTTTGAGCTTTTTTTCACTTTTGAAAAATCTGGCATTGTTGCTTTCGATATATTAAAAGCTGCATAAACTGCTGATGTCCATAACTGCAGTAAGCACATACAAAAACACAGAAAAGAATTCTGTTATAAAAAGTAATATATAAAGCAAAAAATATGCCCAATTGCAACCACTTTGTAATATGAAGCTTTTCTATGCTAATGTAAAAAGCATAAAATGCACATAAAATTTTTTCAAAATTTTCTATAGTTAGAAATGAAATTACGATTTATCATTACCGAACTTATTTGAGGAAACAAGAAAGTTTCAGGTTCAACTAAACCAAAAGTAGGCTTCCCTTCCAGTTCTGGGCAAACATCAGGTACTTTCTGATAATATATGAAACCATTTTCACGCTCAGCTTTTTCCATATGGCGTTCAAGCATTGGTCGAATGCGTCGGAAAAAAAGATGGGACTCCGGTTTAACAGTCATACCTAAATAAAATAAAATAAAAAATCTTATAATTATTGCCTTTAGTAACGTCACATATGAAAATGAGTTTTAAAAAAGCTATAAAACTCATGAATATGGCATATAAAAATAAAGCTGGTTGTTACCTGGCCCACTACTTTTGGAATACTTTTCAGCAAAATCGATGGCAATATCAAAACATGAAACACCTTCTTTGCATGCTCGAACTGCATCGCCACATTTATCTTCCGACAGTAAGCTTTCACCCAAAAAAGCATAAGAGTACGCCGTGTAAATTTCTGATTTTAACTGTAGGTAGTATCGCCACTTTCCAAAGACTAATCGATCCAAATTTTGAAGACTTTTATCTATATAACAATGAATCTGATCATAAATACATCGCAATTTGGAGGGAAGTTTGTTTGTGATTATTCTAAAAGTAGCGGTTCAGATTAAATTTTCATTGCTCAGTAAGATATGATAAAAATATATGAGAAAAAAGAAAACTGCATATTTTATTTCTATCGAATCAATTAGAAAAATGATGCTACATAAAATTCATGATGAAATTAGTAAAACAATTTCAGATTCTACAAAATAATTTGAACACCAACCCGCTTGTCTAAACAAATTACTAGTTTCATAAGCAATTGCAGAAATCAAGCTAGGACTATGTTTTAGTTCAATAGCACGAGCTACAGTGATTTCTTGCGCTTCCGCTGTGAACTGACTGATATATGCAGTAAGTACTGTTGGATCAAAATCTGAACCCACAACTGAAGTTAATCCAGTAACTCGACCTAAAGAGGATGGAAATTCGGACACATTTAAAAACTTAAATTGAGAAAAGGTCTTAAAAAGAGATGGTATTCCTTGAATTTATCTGCAAGTATAGAAATCATATAGAAATCATAGCTTATACGTATTATCCTTGATTAAACTTTTCTTGATTCATATAATTAATCAACGATTTTTTAAATATAGAGCTACCAGAATTTTCGCGCACAAATATCAATATTCCAGCAGCACGTCGTAAACAAGTGTGAGCTTTTTTAGCATCACCTTCAAGTACTTCATCTTTTGCTGCTATCCATGCTGCATGTTTTGATAACCAAAATGCCATATTTATACATATATTTAATGCTTCAAACCAACTATCACTAACTTCCCTGAAATAATTAGTGTTTTGAATCGGCCAAATAAAAAATTTATTAGCTAGTATTATTAATGATGATAGTGTCGTAATTTGGACTTTTTATTTTAGAATCATAATGTTCCAAATATGATCAGTGAGCTATGCAAAGGACTTTGAATAATAGTAACGATAATATTAGTAATAAGAATATTAACATTGACGCTGCCCCAAGCATAGAATCACCCCAGCGAAATCGAATGATGGGAGCAAGTTTGCTCGCTTTTTCAACATCAGCACGATTACTATCAACGGCAAATACAAAACCACGAAAAATTGATAGATAATTTTTGAATTCATCATTTAATGTATCATAATCATTACTAGCATTCTTGAAATGCTCCAGAAGATGACTACGTCTCAAGCGGAGCTCACTGAAAAACTGATTAAATAAATTTGGAAAATCTCGAGTTTTGAATCATTATTAATCATCACTGAATACAGAAATCGCTCTGCGTTCAATCATATCCATTATGTTCCGAAAATCTTTGTTATACCATTAAAAATTAGAAAAGAGGCACATATTCTAAAATTGATAAATATAACCATATTTTGACTTCTGCAACCTTCTCTTTGTAAAACACCAGAAAACTAACGGAAGAAAAAACAATTCAAAATCATACTTGCAAATTTTCGTTGATTGTGGGCTCGTAAGGATCGACTTGAGATCAAAATCCACATTCTCTGTTGCTTTGATCGGATTTCGGTGAAACCATTGAGACATAATGCGTAGTTCAATATTTTAATGACTCATTCCATTTATTTTAGTGAAGCTTTTTTAACTACAAAAGTGAAAAAGCAACAAACACTAGTGCCAGCGATTTATCACTTTTATTAGAAATGACAGACGTTAAATCACATCCCCATCATCTACAAATCTCTTTACTTGCACTCATTCAATTTTCAAAAATGATTGTAAATATTAATGAAAAATTAACTTTATATCTACCTCAACCAAACAGTAGGAAAAAGATCCCTAAGGAATAACTGATTTCTTAGAAACGAAGAACACTGTATTACTGTGGTAGCAAATATGGGCTACACTTTTCAATTATGTTCACCCGATTTTCAAAAATGACCATAAGCATCAACGCAAATAAAGTGATCTTGACTCAGTCAAATCTCAACATCTATCTGAGGGATGAAAGCCAAATCTAATATCAAAAAATAAATAATAAACAGTTAAACGTAGAGTACAATTTTTTAATTCTCTAAAATCTAATAAAACTATTGAAAAATGGCGAAAATTAAAACTAAATGTTTGTTTCTAGAAAAATATAATCCCAATGTTTGACAAATTTATTAAAATTCTCTACCAAGTTTTCATCTACAACCATATTACACAAAAACAACTAAGTACACTTACGTGAATGTCCTGCCTCACGTATTTCAAATTTGCCACTTCAACTAAGTCCTCACTCTTTCATTCTATTTACTGTTCGCAATTATAACTCATTAACCAGTTTTGTTTCTAATCATACATTCACTAATCTAAATCATTCTCTATATTACAATCGGTGATCACTAATAATTTCGTTAAAAGTTTTTTGCACCACTTTGCAAATCTTTTTTTCTTTTCCATCTGACGTGTTCTCTCTTGCTTTGTAGCAATCTTTTCTGAATCTCCAAATTTCATAGTCTCTTTTTTGTTTAAATTAAGGCAGGTATAAATTAATAATACAAATTCATGATAAATTATGAATAATTGATAAATTTTCTTGATTGGAATTGCTTTTCTGGAAAAAAGTAGCATTATTATAGATAAGAATTAAAATGAAACCGTGTCTCTTCTAAACTTACAGCGATTGTAGAAATTTTCTGTCTTTGTAGACGAGAATACAATAAAACAAAATGGTACTGTACGAAAACATGGTATATTATTAGTTGATGAACCTTTCTCTTACAGTATGGAATTTCGTCTGCTTAAGCGTTTATTGATGATTTATAAAATCTCTAAAGTCAACTTGAAATTCGTATTCAAATTTTTTTGTATTTTAAGCTCATATTTTAACTCTTAATTATTTAGTAATTAATGAGCTGAAAATCACAACAGACTTACTTTTTTAACCATTGTTAAATAATTTTTTTGGTAACTGTAAATTCAAACTAATTAGTAGTACTGTTAATAAGTCAAGATTACAGTTATCATTGAAAACTGTTTATAATATGACTGGCACAATCTCAGTATTTTTTTAAAATTTTTTATAGAATTATAATTATAATTATAACAAAAAAAGTCTATTATACCTCAGAAATAGTTTTTGATTCATCTGATTTTTTTTGCTAGCAACAATATTATTCTATCAACGAATCTTTTTAAAATAATATAACAAACATTTTAAGAATTTTTTAGAGACTTCTAAAACAGAACTGCTATTTTCAGTATTGGTTCTGTAAATAAAATTCAGAAAAGCCGAATCTATTCAAACTGAAATATTACTTCAATGGCTTATTTACTTTTTATGATTAAAATAATTGCCTTAGTAGCTCATTCAAATTTTTTATCTACATGGAAGCAAATTTATTCTAGCCTGCACAATATATCTCATAGAATTCTCACTTTACATTTCGAAGCATTTCTCGATTTTAAATTTATAATTTTCTATCTTCAAATTTGAGCATCGACAAAATTTTTTTAAATTTCAGCTTAATATTGTTAAATCTTTGCTAATTTCATAGTTTATAAAGTATCTGTTCATGAGTTTACTCTAAACTTGCGCTTGAAAAAAAACATTTTGACTCTAACTGTAATTTTTCACTTAATATGCTTCCAAATAAAGATAGTTTTATTAATCAAAAATAATTTTGTTTTATTTTTTCTAACTTGCGATTACATGAACTAGTTGAGATATCAACTGAATGTGTTGCATTAACTGCTTATTTACAACTGATTTTGAATGCTGCTACAGTAGGTAATTAGTTTATTAAGTTTTGACGAACTTCTTGAAAGTAAGTTATTAAGTTTTTATTAAGTTTCGATGAACTGATTTTTTAGCAAATATTCCAACCAAATTTTTGTTTTCATTTACAAAACCAAAAATTAAGAGCATAATTTTAATACATTATCTTTATCTTTATCATTATCATTACCGATAGCTTATCATTTGTTACGTATCAATTTAAAAAGTAAAAATAGTAATTCAATTCCGTTTATAATTTGCATATTGAAACCAAATTAAAACTTACTTTTTTGATGCTGAAAAGAGATTTACTTTTTGGATGATGCGTTGTGTTAATGGAAGAATTCTCTGAATAATTATTTTTTGCGATTAACTGAATAATTTTTAATTAACGAAAGGTTTTTTTGTTTTATTTAATTTTCTCATTTCCTCTTTTCCATTTCAATTTTCAGTTTTTTGTCTTATTCTCATTAAAAGTATTAATATTCGTTCTTGTTTTCATTGGTACTGGTTTTGTTTTTGATTATTATTACGATTATTACCGGTGTAAATAATACTTTCGTTATGATTTAATGATAAAATGGTAAAAATTGTTCAGTATAATTGCATTTCTACTTTTAAAATGTGCAAAAATTACTCGACAAATGCAGATTAATTATAAATATGCATAAATTATTAATTTGCAATGTATGTATTTACTGAAGCAAACATTATTTACTTGTATGTTTATTTTATAACTGTAACAAATATATTTAATGAAAATAACATTCATTCAAAAACCGTGAAGGAAAAATCCGTACCAACTCTATCACTAACAAAATTAATAATTTACGTAAGTCTTGAAAACTTGGATAAAACTTAATCCACATCTTAAATTTAAAGTTTTATATAGTTCATGTGGATAAAATTTTTAAATTTTTAGCCCACTTTTTGAGCTTGTTTCTTGATTTTTTGGTAAGCTATTGTAAAATGAAGTTAGATCCAATTTTGTTATTGGCATCATTTTTACTTCTGTTATTACGGATGTATTTATTCATATTTTCAATATAATTATTGCTATCAATATTTTTATAGTTTTTATTAAAATCATGAATTTCCAACTTTATTTTCAAACCTTATGATCACTGATTGCAATTTGATGCATAAGTTTGTTTGGACCAATCAGTTCTAAATTCAATAGAAAATTATATTATTATTGTTCACATCTGATAAAAAATAACTGAAACTTTTAATTCTTACTTCGAAACATATTAATAAAATGGATGATTTGTCAAAACTAATGAAGAAGATTTTTCCAAAACGATTCAAATTTCTGAAATAAGTTCAAAAAAATCGAAATTGTGATCGCTTCATTTCTGTCAATATCCATTACTGCATATTAATTATCCAATGTATTAGACAAAATATAATTATTATAATTGCATTTGCTATAAAATAAATGTAAAAATGAACTCGTAAAAAACAATTTTTGCACCAGTTTTTCTTTTTCTGAAAAATTAATTATTTTTTGGAGCTTCCTACTTTTTTCTGCAGTTTCGGAACAGAATTCACAATTTCAGTATAATTACCCCTTTTACATAACAAAAGTAAATTATATTTAAGTTGTAAAGCAAAAATATAGCATTATTGCTCTGCCAGTCATCAAAGTCTCACAAAGTTGGTATTAAGTATAAAGTAAGCATATAAGTGAATAAAAAAATGAAACTGTCATAATATAGTATAACAAGAATTGAAAAACAATAATGAACATATCATTATTTTATTATTATTAATTATTATTAATATTGGTTTTATTATAGTAATATTATAATATTATTCAATTATACTGCCATTGTACTTACTGTACATTTAACTATTCGTTCAACCTTACAGTATCGAAAGATAGAGAATATCCATTTTGTAAAAATTTTAGCACCTTAAAATTTTGATCATTTTTTATACATTAAAAAAAAATTGATTCCTTTGTTTTAGAGAGCTGAAATTTGTTAGTTCGCAAAGTTTTGAAATGCTTGAAATGATATAATTTTTAATGGTACTAAAACTGTTTGGAAAAATTTGTGATCAGTTTTTTATTAGTTCAAAATTAATTCTGAAAGGATTTTTCAGATCAAAAATGATTCGAATCAAAAACGCAATTCAAAGGCGAAGAATGATCCAAGAGATGAATGATGATTATAATACCCTCGAAGACGAAAATACTGAAACTTCTGAATCACTTTGTGATTGCATTTCTTTAAATTAATTAATTCAAAGATTTTATAATTTTTTTGAGTTATTTTATGTTTAGACTTTGCAGTAAAAATTATTTATGCATCTCTTTTTAGAATAAATTCGATCACTCTCTTAAGTCTTTTAATTATTAAAATAATAACTTTTCTAAAATAGTAAAAATTTAAGCTAGCATCAACAAGCACTTAAGATGTATATTATTATATTATAATTAACTTAGTTTAAAAATACTTATCAGTTATTTAAATAAAAATAATGGAATAATTATAAATTTGTATTTAACTTTTTATTTGTTCTAAATCTCTCGTAATGTCTTGAATTTGAGGAATATACAGTAGTAAACAGAAGTTTATAAGAGTATTTTTTAATTACTTCGATTCACTTGCTAGACTGTACTGTAACTTTACAAAAATTATCGCAAATATTATTTCAAGATGCATCTTTGTAATTATTAAGCACAGCAAGCAAATATGCTAACCTTATTAAACAATTCCTTTTTGAAAAACTTTATAACACTTTCCAAGGAAACTTACAAAATTTGTATAATTTTGAGGAATTCTATTAATAAGCTATTATTATTATTTATTACTATTTATTATTGTTATTATTATTATTATTATTACTATTATTATTATTATTGTCATTATTCTATTATATTGCTACTGTACTTAGTGTACATTTAACAACTCTTAACATTAATTAAATTAATAAACGAACTTTATTAAAAATTGATATTTATTTATAAAGTGCAATAATCAGAATTTTAAAACATTTTGATATTTTTGTATATTTTCACGTATTTTGATTTAATTTTAAAATGGCTTAGATATAAGATGAAGTAATAATTCTGGATTTTTTTGCATAAAAATATCTGAGAAGACGTACGAAACTTAAGTAAATATTTTATGCATATTAAAATATTTAAGAATTTAATTCAGATACTTTAGTACTAAATTAATTATTAAAAAACAGTTTTTTTAATTTTATGTACAAATTTCTGAGCTAACTTATTCAAATTTGCTGTCTTCTATTTTAATTAATTTGATTTTTTTTTCTCTTTATTTAATTGCTTTTTTTTACTTTTTGTATACATACTTAATTACTTTTAAATTCCTTACTTAGTGCTTGTGCCCGAAGAAAATAGTTCCACTTTATCAGTTGAATCTGAAACTGCTTTGTTGGAATTTTCTCAACAGTTAGCTAACCGAATGACAAACTTACAGGTTTATTTAAAATAGTATTTAGCAATAATAATTTATTTAAATTTGTTTTTTCTTATTTCATAAAAAGTATTTATGCAAATTTCTTAACATGATGCAAAATTTGAGAAGCGTGCGTTAAGAATAACTTGGAAAAGACTATCAGAAGCTCCAAGAACTTCAGGTCGTGGCACTGTTCATTTAATGGAAAAAGTAATTATATTAACTTCTAACTATCGTACTATAAACCGAGCAATAATTAAGCTAAAGATGCTTTTCTATTCCGTGAAAAAATTAGTACTTAAGTTATAAAATTTAGTTAGCTTTGTATTTATTAAATATTAGTGAGATAATAATCAGAAGCACTGAGATAAACATTAGATATATGAATAATTATCAAATAATCAATATTAATTCCCAAATACTTGACCATTTCGAGTTTTTTAATTTTTTCCTTTAAATTACTTCATAGCATAACTCTAATAAACTTGGTAACTTCATATATTTTTAAATTTGAAACTTAGTTTTCAATACTTTACATTCATGTAGTTTAATAATTACCCGCTATTTTATTTGAGTATTTTTGTGGCTGGTTCCATTAAAGGTAATAATATAAATTTTTATTGGTTTGTTGTTACCACAAAATTATTTATATGTAAAAATTATGTAAAAACTTGAAATTTGGGAAATTCTGAAAATTTTTGCACAAAAATTATTAAAGGTTTTTGCGAAAATGGCAGAAACAGCTGAAGTGATGCCAATATTTTACAAAAGTGCTTTTCTAAGTTGCGTGGAAGACAAACGTCGAAGTAAAATACTTGCGCATAATTGGAAGAATGAAAAACTTTTGGGGAATAAACCACAAACTATCAAAACAGTTCGGGATCACGCACATTTACTGGCGGATTTCTTGCATAATATCATTTCAATGATGTTTGATAGCAAAGTTGAAAAAAATCCTTTAGCTTTAGAACAAATTGGTGAGTTTGAATCAGTCTTAGTTATGGTGCATCAATCATAATATTATTTCTTTTACATACAAACATCTCACGACTTTTTCAGCATTTGTTTGAATACTTCTATAACTGTTTGAGCCAAAATTTAAATAGCATGAATTTTATTACTGTCATGACTGTGAAATTGATTGAAGAATGCATGAATATAAATTGTTATGATAATTATACTGATCATAACACTTTTATTTATCATGGAATTTCAAAAGAAAATCAAGCAAAAATATCTGAGACTATGGAAATGTCTAATTTTTAACTTTTGGAGCCAAAGCCAGTACTGAACTACAATTTTAAATTTTTATATCATGAATACTGAAAGTAATAAACTCAATTATTTGAAGCAAAAATAATATAATATGATTGTATTCAAGATCAAACAGATTTGAGATTCAAACTTTTATAAGATACATCGTATCTTTATAGTTTCAATTATGATATTGTCAAATAATTTCAACTTTTTTCAAATTAATGCATGAGAATTTCTGAAGGTTTAAAAAAATAATATATTTCGGCAAATAAATTATCTCAATTTTAGTGAAAAAATTTAAAATTTTGTCACTACAAAATTTAGAATTTAGCTTTAAATTGATATTTAACATAAAAGTCTCAGTTCAAGAGATAAAAATATAATATAACATGATATAAAAGAGTTCAAACACTTTTTCATACTTGAAAATGATTATCGCTAATCATTATTTTGATAATTTTTGATCACTAAAAAATATTTGACATTATTTTTAGCTCGAACACATTTACGGCTAGAACCATTGGGGTTTCAGAGGACGTTGTGGATTCAGTTTGGTGAATCACTCGCGGAAGTTATGTTTAGTGAAGTAAAAATAATAATATAACACTTTAAAATGTGTTTTTATCCACTTGAAAGCTAATCTAAAACAAAGTAATATTTGGTATCATTTGAACTAAAATAAGCGCATGATTAATGAACTATTGTTATTTTTTAAGTAAAAAAACGAATTGTTAAAATGTATTATATATCAGTCTTTTTAAGATATTCATAATCAATCTTCCAAAAAAACTCTCCAAATAATTTCCTTTTAAGTAAAGGCTTAGATTCAGGAATGTGTTAGGGCGTATCCACACGCTCCTAGCGCCTGGTCATTGTTAAGTATTACAATCAGTGATCATTTACACGCTCTCGCTAAAAGATCTCGATCATTACAAATAATGCCGATTTCACGTACACTTCCGATAACTTTTGATCAAAAACCAAAAGTATTACTTGATATTCACTTTACTTATTTACAGTATACACGATTACTGATTATCAAAATCTTGCGTTAAAAAATCAGATTATTAGATTTCGATTTAAGAAACTTGAAAATTATAAATGCTGAATCCCGATTTATTACAGAGAAATGATGAATATTGTTCAATAGAAGTATATGAAATAATAATTTGCTTTTATTAATAATTATTTAAGCAAAAGATTACTGAAATAATTAATTTAGTCTAAAAAAATGATTTTTTTTTGCGCATTCTCCGAGACTAAAGCAAATATACTCAACGAAATATCTCCTACGTGCATTTTTAATAACCTTTAGATGGTAAATCAACAAAAGTTAGTGCCATCATCGTCATCGCTTGATGCAGTAAGCTCACAAGCAGATAAAAGCTTTTCACGACAATGCCGTGATCAGATATCATTGGACCCAAATGTTATCGATTACTTTCGAACAGATTCGAGTCAAAGTGATTCATATATACCAGATCAAAAACTTCCATCTTTGTTAGAAACGATCACTTCTGTACAGCCACAATTATCGCAAGTTTTTTTTCCATCAAAATTTTCTATTTCTACGCCAATATTTCCGAATTCAACTGATTCTTCAGTTGCAACTACACGTCACGAACTTGCAAGCAGTCTTGATTCTGTCGTGAATTCCTCACTCATAAAAAACTGTGTACGAATTACACGAGTTTGAAACAGTGATAAACGCGTGAAATTTTGATATACTGTACAAATATTTTGTAAAAATTTATATCATATAAATTTTATTGCAATATATGAATTGAGTTTTAAATCATAAAAATAAAACAATGTACAAAAAGTTTCGTTTTTACGTAAAAAATGCAACTGTGAAAATTTTACTAAGATAGAAATCCAAAACTTATCACTTAAACGAATAGAAGAATTTTTTTGAACAAAACCTACTCACTTTTCATTATGAGCGATCATAGAGAAAGGAAAATTTTTTCTATTTGAACTATGAACTTTACATCAGGTTCAAAAAGTGAGAAACGAAACTTTTCTACAACTGACATGTCGAAGCATTTTCCAGTGCAGATGTACAGAAATTCTTCTCGTCTTCTCTTTATAATCTTATTCATCCTTGAGACATGATTAAAAATCAAGAAAGTTTGAAGTTCACGTAGTCTTACAGTATCCCGATAAAATTCTAGAGAAAAAAGGAAAATAATAAAAAGTGGTGAAGAAATAGCCTAGGGAAAGGATGCAATCTACAGAATCGGTGGGATTTGCTAACTGAATACATCGATCTATTAATTTCTGGCATTAATTTTGCTCAACAAACTCATAATCAAAGGTAGTCCAGAATTCGTTCAATTATACCCAAAACATCACTTATAATTATCATATCAATATTAATCATAAAATCGATTAGAAAAGAATTTTGAGTTAATAGTCATAATCTATAAATTCTGGCATTTAGTCCAATCAGTATAATTACAATTTTGATCATACGATCTATAGAATCTCGTGAACAGATAGATTTAATCACTGATTTGCTGTGGAAAATTGATAAATCAGATTAGAAATGTTCTGCGATTAATCTGATTAAAACTTCAATTTGCACACACTTCTGGCAAAAGTATTAATATTTATAATATTTGAAACACATAAGTACTTCAATAAAAAGTCTTATGGGTATGAAATGGTCCAGTCTTGCTTACAGAATTATGCAAATTTTGAGACAGAAATTTACTTTAATTGAGTACACGGCACCTATACGGACTATATACACAAAAAAGACCACATAAATGGGGAAATACAGATAATGCATACAAAAAATAGAGACTACTTGCAGATTACGAACAGAGATATTACACACTAATAGACTACAGAAAGAGAGAGACAGCAGGAATATGAAAGATTTGCTTTCATATACTCGTAATTTCAGGAACTCTTGATACTTCTGTTTACCTTTGTTTTTATACTAATGAAGTACTTTAAGATGTTTCATAAATTTTGCTTGTAATTATGAAAGACTGGATATTTTTAAATAAAGCCCATCATTGTTGGACTTCAGAAAACTCCAGCAGTTTTGCAGCTACATCATCTGACCGTCGTTCGACCTCTTCTACTTCTCTCACAGGAAGTTGCGCAACCACAAGAAGACCGATAAGGATGACAGACAACCAAGCTTTGTTTACGTATTATCTAAATATTATGCCCATTCATTATTCATTGTTTCTCGTCTTTTGTCATGCTAATAATTTGTTTTCCAGCCCTTTTCTGTCATCTGAGAGCAGTTTCCAGTTTTCTGTTAGTTTCTGATTTGAACAGAAAATTTCCAAGTCCGAAAGAGTAAAATTATTTTACAAACAAAAGTTCCCGCGAAGTATCCGTCCTATTTTTCTGATTATTACAATCAGACCTACATGAAGTAGACGTTTCTTGCTTATTTTGTACCTAACATTTAAGGAAAAGTGACTTGATGGAATTAAAAGTTAGCTTACAAAGTAAATTGGTCATGTTTGATTTTCGGCTGGACAGTAAATCTTTTACGTAGTGTTGAACACGAATTCTAGAAGTCTATATTTAAAGATATTTAACAAATACTAAAAATTCTTTTAATGAATCAGAAGTGATACATAATGGTGAATAGGCACTGGAAATTCATAAATTTCGCAAAATTAATTTGATCTCGAGTTTTGGAACGAAATTAAGTATTAAAAACCTCAGTATCGAGAAAATCATTGAAAATTTGTTTTAAAATGTTCAGACAGTATAGTCAACTAACAAATGTAAGAACTAATAACGGTAGATGTGTATACAAACAATTTGTAATTGGAAATAAATTTAAGAACAGTTGATGTATGAATGTACAAATGGTAATAATAACAACAAGGATGGGTCTATAGCCAATTATAGCGAAAATATATCCAGTTAGGTAGATTTCAATGCAGCCAGTCATTGGTATTCAATCTGAAAAATGATTTCTCTTACGTAGTCATATACTTAGTTCAAGATAAGTTCACAACAAACTACATAAACATTATCTAAGGACCAAAACACACTTGACAACCACATATTTTACTGCACATTGGCGCATTTTGTATCAAAACGAACTATCTACATTTTATCTTGAAATATAAGTTTAAAGCAATGATTTACTTCTCGGATTTTTTTCTTAAACCCAACATATCAGGTGTTGTAATAGCAGCCGTAGATAGGGCGATTGGACTAGGCTCTATTCCGCTTCGAGCAAATGCTGCAGCTACACGGCTTAATGAACGATTATTTTCCAATTTAAAATCATCCTAAAATTTTCGAACAAAATGTCATGATATACTATTTAATGTAATAACAATCAGTTTTTTGATGCTTGATTTCGTAGTGATACCATGTAGTAACTTAAATCTGCAAAATAAAAAAACCTGAATTGAACAGATTACCGTGTGAAGAAATTTGAAATATTTAGAAAGATTTACTTCCAAGCAATCACTAAGTGGAGTACTGGTAGCAAAGCGTCCTGAAGAACTCCCACAATTTCTTTCTGATGAAGCTGCACTACGTGCTAGAAATATATTCTTGAATAACTGTGTGCATGCTTACAATATTTAGATAAGCTGTGAGTGAAAATTATTGTCGATTTTGCAATGATTTAATTTATTTATGTTATGTCAGAAATTCAGAAAATATCGAAATAGCTTTCAAATAAGAAAAAATGATTTGCATTACAGTTTTTGGAAAATTATTAAATTTTGTTATTCTCAGCATCTATAGCATTTTTCAAAGAGGATAAATAAGCAACGAAAGTATGAATGATAGAATTTATTACATCTTGCAGCTGAATGAGGACTTTTTGAACTGCTGCGTGATGCGGAGTTCATAGCCAACCTGAAAAAATGTTGCTCTTCATTCAAACGAAAAGTCTAATGAGCGAAAAAAAAATTTTTGATTTTTTATTGATACAAAATCGATATTTGACTTGGGATTGAAAAAACACGTAAGTCAATCCCCATATAAGTAGTAATCTGCATCATCTTAAAAAGTCATTGAACATCCCGGACTTATCCTTAACAACTAACCACTGATTGATCCCCATCTCAAAATATCTAGTGCATTCAACTTCGTCTACAAGTCACACTTTTACCTTAATTAGAGCAATACTTTAAACCTTGATATGTCACGAGAACGGTTCCATTTTTCGTATATATTTTATCAACGAAATAAGTAGTTTACACGTACAGCTGTTCTAATTTTTGAGCGTGATGCCGTAGTTTTTCGATTTCTCTAACAAGTGCATCCTTTTCCGCCAAAGTTTTCCTGAAAATTATTCCTAAATTACACAAAGTCCAGAAGTATGCATTATTTATTGCTGAAGCACGAACTAGACAAACCTTTCTTTTTCAGACTTTTGTTTTATTGCTAACTGCGCTGATATCACATATTTCATTGTTTTTTTCTGCTGCAAATAAACCTTTCAATTTCTAAAGCCTAACAATACTGTTTAAATTACATGAAATTATTACAAAACTCCATATAACATTATATAATTACAGTGTAATAAATTTGAAAAAAAATACTTACTTGTTCTTGCTTAGCTTTTTGCAAATGCTGCCGATGAGTGCTTTGAAAATCTAAAACTGAATTTAAATTTTTGACGTACTGTTCTAGCAAATCTTTCGGATTTCGGAAATACATTTGCAAATCAGCTCTAAGATTTCGATTGATTTTTACCGAATTAGAACGTTTGCTACATCGAGGACATTGATCTTGAGGAACTGAAATACAGTAGTAATCAAATTAAGCATTTGTTCTTAAGAAGTTAAAATACAATCATTAAATTAATTAAGAATTACATTAAAGAGATAAAAAAGTTGATGTATTTCAAGTTATTTCTTGGAATTTTTACGCGTTACTACAAAATTATTTTGTAATTTTTCATTTCCTTTTTTGTAGTTTTTTTCATCATACTACAGTAGAGACAGAATAGTATAAATAGAAAAATCAATAATACCTGTTTCACGACATTTACTGCAAATGATATGACCACAGGAAGTGAAAAAAAATGGACACTGTTCAGCAGTTTGTGTTGTTGGCATTCTAATGCACACATTGCAGTGAATCCAATCACCCATTCCTAAAATAGTAAAATAGTAAAATCTACTCTTAAAGTAAAAATTACTTTTTAAATTATTTTTTTCCAAAAAAAAAAAAGACTCTAAAATAAATTTGATAAAAACTATTGTTACAAAAACATTCTTAACCATTATATTCATGACCAACATCCCAAAAGAGAACCTATTCAATCATTCATTTCATCTAATCAATAATGATATCATTATTTAATATTTGCATACCTACCCACAAAATCAACTTATAACAATAATTCGCTATTTCTTTCACGTACGTGATATGTTTTAGGCGTTATGGAAATTTCTGAAGTTTCGACTCAATATATTTACTTCTCTAAAAAACTAACACATAATATTATACAGTAACTGACACTAACCACACTAACATAGACAATGTCTAGAAAGTTACGTGCATCCTTACATACTTACAAGTAGAAAAAAATCAATGAAAACAGCGTTTCTAACACCAATTGTTAGATGAACTCAACTTATTCCACCTTTCGTTCCTTCCAACCACTATCACACGAACTTGACAGTTATATGCAGTAAAAACCATTTCACGTTTATACGTAAGACAGATTAACTTTTGCACTCAAAGCTGTACTACTTTATATATTATTAGTTACTTAAGTCAGATTATTAATTACTTCTTCCACACACATAATTAACTAGTTCACACACCTAAATCCAAGTAATGCATTGGAAGACTTACGGAAATTGTACGTTCATAACATCACAAAAATCTACCATTTCCACAACTAACCAAAAAGTTGTATTACCTTACCATTGATATTTCAGTGAATTTAACAGTACCACTTTTTTCCTTCATCACAATGTTGAAAATAACTACCTTGACCGTAACACCGCTCATCTTCTCATTGATGATTTCTTTTCTATACTGTACACCCACACCCATTCATGTACAGGAAGGCAGTTAGATAAATCGTCTCTACCACATCGCGGTTTCAAGATCGCTCCCCAACAATCCATTATTTTGATAACATTAACTCGTCATGTTTTCGTGTAAGCAAACGTAGAATCTTTCGACATGTATAAACAACTATTACTTTCCAGAGCACTTTATTCGACTCATTCAGACAAATTTATTAAAACAAGTAATATGTATTTTAAAACAAAATACTCAGATTGACAAACTAAAATAAAATATTGCTGCATTTAAAGACAAACACTAAAACAAATACGGAAGGTCATGATCGATGTAGCTAAAACTGACAAATCATAAATTGTAAAACACTGACAATAATAATGAAAAAAAGGTAAATGACCAAGAAATTACATGACTATGCATATATTGCTCAAAATAGATAATTCCGTAAACCTCATATACATTCATTACCTAAATGATTTCCAGAAGCTTTATATCACCTGTCATATTTCTGTACTATCACATTGCAGTTGAGGTCTTCGAAACTTCAAAAAAACCAAAACACCACTTACAGTAAAACATGTAAAACGATTTCAGAAAACATTTTTTGCTGGTTTTACAGAAGATCGCAAACTTTACGTTATATGAATAAGATATGCAAACAAAGTAGGAAACATGCCAATACAAGAATTAGAATTTCGTCCTTTCTTATTTCATTCTCTGCAAAAAATATTTAGTGAAATATTAGAGCAAAGAAGAATATTCTATTTTCAATTTCTGATACTTCAAATCGTGTGAAAAAATTTTTTTTACGAATTTTTAAATCACTGAAAATAATTATTCAAAACTTTCACCTGCTTAAGCTTCGACTCATACTTCGTCTTTCATCATAACGTGGAGATTTACGCGGTGGTGGAGTAATAGAACGACTCCGACTTCTTCGGTAGTACGGCGATCTGTAAAATTACTGAGAACATAAATTTCTGACATATCCTAATAAATTTAACTACAGAACAATAGATTTTGTTGCCATCAACTACATTACCTCAATGAACTTTGTAATTTTAAAGTAAAATGTACTGCTGATTCTGCTAAATAACACATCAAAATCATATTTTCATTTCTAATAGAAATAATTTTTGCAAAAAATGAGATCATTGAAACAATGCTTATGCTAAGTGTATTGCAAAATGCAGGATGACTCAAAAAAACCATTAATGTTTCAGAAAACAATGACTCATTTGCAAAACTGTAGAAAGAAAACTCTTTAATTAATCTATATCACCACTGTTGTTATCACAATTATAAAGATTTGAAAAAGAAATGAACTGAACTGGATGGAGAAAAGACTCTAACAAAGCTTTTTAATCCTCAAGTACAATGATTTTTTTCAAAAAGACCTCTCATTCGAAAGTCGAATCTCTTACCATCCAAAAACGATGAATGGAAGTTGATTAGATGATGATTATGATGATAACGATGATGACGACGATGTTAATGACGATGACGACGATGAGCATTCACAATCATTGTTCATGATGTGATGATAGTAATAAGATAACGATCATGATGATGATGATGATGATGATGAAGAATATTGCTTGATGTGAAATAGTAAGTGTAGTAAAAGGAGATGAGTTTAAAATTTCCTCTAAACACACAAATCTGCTTCTTTAGATGGTAGCACCTACGATCCATTGCTTGAATGGTTTGTATCAAGCATAAAATGGGTAAAAAGGATGATAGTAAGTGCTTATGTTTTTCGAACTGATATGTACACCATTCAACATTCCCAAAATTTACTATTTATGTGCTGCATGACGTCTGCCATACGAAACGTGTAGGCGACGAAGATTGATGATGTGATCAAAAAGTCGTAATGCTTCTAGTAGAGCTGGTAGGTTTAAGGTAGGTAGTTGCAAAGCACGTGAAATAGGTGCTGATGATCAAATGAATGGTGTAGTAGTAGGTAGTAGTAGTAGTAACCGCATGGATGGGCTAAAATAACTTAACTTATTTTCTTTTCAAATATCTGAAAATGACTATCTTAATTATTTATCCACTGCTAATGCTAACTTCTCTTTGCACTTAAAGTACTAATATAAAAAATATTACTTGTTAACAGTTAACTGAAGTGCAATCTTAATAAAATTGATCCATGGCAGCAGATAAAAAACTGCATTTGAAGGACTGTATATGGCCGCAAATAATGGACATATATGCGAGAATATTTGTACAGTTTTTTGGGAGGGAAAATATGGAAATGGGAATCTCAAGAAAAAATATTCGGTCATTGTTGCAGTCAACAGTGCTCGAATATTTTTTGCAAGAAAAAATATAAGGTGTTCGTACTTGAATGAATAAAAAGATACAATAAAAGTAACTTCTAGCTACTTTCCACCGACAACAACAGCGCAAGGTGAATATAAAATTATACCTTGATCTTCGACGTCCACTATCATAGTAACCACCAGAACCGCTTCCTCCTCCTCCACCATAACCACCATTTCGTCGACGACCATGCGAAATTTCGACGCGAGCACGGACACCACAAATTCTTCTAAATCAAAAATGCCCCTTGCTAATTGATGAAATAGTTGAAATTTCGCTTTAAAAAGGCATTCTTACGTTCCATCTAATGCTTTCACAGCATCTTCTGCATCTCGTGCATCTTCAAATTCTACAAATGCAAATCCTGGTGGACGTCGAGCAACCCAAACTTTACGTATACGACCAAACCGATTGAACGCATCCTCAAGCTTCAGAACCAAATGTTAACAAGCGAGTTTTGATAATATCACGATGTGTAAATGACTAATTGTAAACTAGCTCACAACAAAATCAGAACTGATGTTAGAAAACAACTACAATCAAACCTTGCTACCAATCCTACCTCTTGTGAAGTAGCATCCTGAGGTAAACCACCAACATAAACTTTGCAATCGAGTGGATCTGATCGTCGTGACATCTTCTTTTCAATGTTTTACACTCTCAAACAAGACCGCTACAAAACCACAATGAACATAATTTATAAACAATACTAACATAGCAAAATTATTTTTCTTGCTTTATTAGTTGATTCTATAGCTGAATGATAAGAATCACTTCATTATACTATAAAAAATTCACAACTTCTGACATTATTAACCAGTTCATTCGTTAAAATATTGAGTTGGTACTGGACCACTGCATGTCATACTCATATATATATAACAACCAACATAATTTAATCAGTATGAATTAATATAATATTAAGAGGTATAATAAATTCGAGCTTGAAAAATTCACAAAAGACATAATAGAGACATAATATAGCAACTGCAATCAAAGAGTCACTAAATACAAGATATGATAGAATTATTTTCTCTTAACACACTTTATTATTGAATAGATATAGCCAATGTGTAACTAAACCAAGTATACTCATGAATTAACTTAATATTGAAACCTCTTAAAAGTAGAAAAAGTAACATCTTATACTGAACACAATTCCTTCGCTTTTCCCTTGAGAAATTATAAAATATCTTCACATTACAGACTTGTGGGGAAGATTTGTAGACTATGATAAAACATGCTATCAAAATTGAAATTTACATCTTTTGCAATTCATCACATGCATCTTCATGTCAAAAATCTATTAGTAAGAAAAATATTCAAAATTTAATATACAACATTTCAAAGGAATTTGATGAACAATTAGCAAACAAACAACTGATCGAAGCAGATGCAACTCTTCATTAAATTGTAATGTCATATATTATTCTCCTGAAAAAATTAATTGTAAAATATGTAAAGCTTTCGATTTGTCATGAAAAATTGAAAGATAAGCTATAACTTGAAGAAACAGAAAATTCTCTATCAATCTTGAAAGCTAGTGAACTAAAAAAAAGCTATTGTGTTAAATCCGTAGCATATGCTTACAAAATTTTTCGGCGAGTACATCACACAACCTTCAATTACTTCATTCCTTTTTACATTAATTATTCTCAAATTATAATCGATAACTCTGTAATGCATATGATCAAAAAAACAATTAACAAACAGTAAAATCCAATTACTTTTTAATAACTATAATTCAACTTACATGAAACCGAATATTTTCACTGATTTGTTCGTCTATCCCTTAAAATCAGAAATATAATGAAAAATTTAACTATGAGATTAAAATCCATCATATAAAACAATGGCAACTTTCATGAGGAAAATGAGGCTTAATGTAAAAAAAAGACAAACGTTGAAAAAATACAAAAAGTTTAGCAAAAAACATGGAATAAAACTGTGCAACTACTAGTAATACTTTACTGAAATTTGATTTTGCCTCGCAATATACAAAATTCCAACAACATCTCTGCATATATAAGGTTAGAAAATAAAATTACTAACTCGCTGAGACTCCTACTACGACTTCTGCTATATCGTGGTGATTTTCGCTGTGGTGGTGAACGCGAACGACTAAATGATCGTCGACGTACCGGCGTCCTATAAAACACGCGACCTTATTGCTTTAAAAATATACTAAATTTACGATGAAATAAGAATTCTCATAACGTTAGAATTCAAATACTGCGTCCGACCTGCCCGTCCTCACAACTGCACAAATTTACTCGCTTGCTAAGTCTTGAAATCGATAATTCGCAAATATATACATGTCATGAACATACAAGAATTACAACAAATCTTCATTTCTAGACAATTTTTTGGCAAGTTCATTTAATAATTGCACAACTCGCAGCAGCAGATATTGAATCTACGAATATGTTAGAAAAGTAGATATTAAATCTGCAAGTCTTTGACTACTATTACTCTCCAAGCCCCTGGTATTAAAGCACAGGTATTTATAGACAGTCTTTAAGTATATATCAGAATCCTATGTTAATCTATGTTTATTACTGTCCTTGCACAAGTCAACTGCCAAATTGTGGAATAATACTGTGAGCTCCAGCACCCTCCAATTAATCCTATCTGTTACGAATTCAATATTTCTAAATGATAAATTATCATAAGAGATGATATTTTCAAAAACAGCCAGTGTCTGATGCAAGAGTCATGTAGCTTAAGTGAAATAATCTCAGATACACTCTATATAAATGTAAGTAATAAGTACCACATAAATACTAGAGAAATCAACGAAATTAAGTAATGCATACTTATGTATTCCTACTACAAATTTTCTTACCGAATCAAGTGGTACAAGTAGGAAGAAGCATGCAGACTTTGCGATGACGTATATGTGTACGTGTGAGAGAAAGACCACCAGCAAATGGATACCACAGCTGCGCGGTCGTTTAAGATAACAATAAAATTCGCAGATGAAGACGGCCAGTTAATTCTATTTTTGGATGGTTGTGAACCAATTTTTTGAAAACTTAGAAGATGGTTTACTATTCGGTTTTTCTTTTGTAAGATGACCATTTTCGAAAGCTTTGAAACCGTTAGCAATGCGAAAAATAAAGATTTCAGAGGTGGTGTGTTTCCAAAGGTAGCCAGAGCATCGGATGCAAAGTTTCAGGACAATGACAGCGCTCTGTAGTAGCATGAAGCGAGGAAAAGTTGGAGTCATGAAACGAATTTCGGAGGATACGCGGATATGGTGGTAGTAGGCTAAAATATATTTTTCAATACTTACAAAATCTTTTCTTCTTTATAGAAATAGCACAATTTTTGCAAAATTGGCAGAGGTAAATCCAAATTTTCTGCAAGACACGCTATCCTAAAAATATATCTGAACAAAACAACCTTGAACGGCGTCTACTTCCACCGTAATTCCGTCGACCACCGCGACGTGAACCACCATGAGAGAATTCTACTCTTGGACGAACACCGCAGATACGCCTAAAATCTTATTGAATTGAGAAATACATTCCAAAGTAGACAATTACAAATAGAGGTAATGACGCAGGACATTAACAATTCAACTAAAAGTTTCCATAAAACAAGAACAAGCTAAACTGGCAGGAAAAATCACCTCAACAGGCACATAAGTGGAAGTGAAATAATAAAGAACTAACGAAGTATCTTAACAAAAATTAATGATTACAATGTGATTGTAGATGAGGGAATCATTATCCATAGACTAATAACATCTGTTTGCTATACTTGAGTACAATCCAAAAAATCAATATTCAAAACTTACAAATGTGCAAGATGCATTTAAAATCAGAACAACTTACGAGCCATCAAGTCCTTTAACGGCATCCTCAGCATCACGACTATCTTCAAATTCAACAAATGCAAAACCAGGCGGTCGACGGGCCAACCATACTTTTTTAATACGACCATATTTACTAAAAGTATCTTCTATCTGAAAACAATGATTTATTTGCCTGAATGCTGTGAAGCGGGAAAGAGAAGTCTAGCTACTTATATTTTAGCAATTGTAATTGTCTGTTAATTTTGCACTGAAAATGAAATTAATAAGTTGACAGTTCACAATCAAGAAAATACTCTATAAAGATGCATTTACAGAAAAAAGTATAAATGATTACTTCTTCTGTGGAAGCATCATTTGGTAAACCGCCTACAAACACTTTGCATTCCAAACATTCATCATGACGAGCCATTTTAGGTCAATGCCTCAAAATACAAACAACACTGAAACAAAAATCGAATGCTCAATTTCATTTGCGTGAAAAGTAATACAACGTTTTTTCACAAAAGCAAAAGTATATTTCATTAGCAAATTTTTTCTTAAATAGAATAATGAGTTTAAGATAATTTATAAACTAATGAATAAATTTAATTACCAAATTAAAAGAAAATAGTCTAAAAATTAATCACGAAAATATATCGGCTAAAACTGCTTAATCAATAAAGTGCTAAGCTTATCTCAGTGGATAACACTGGAAGACCTGTATTGCTAAAATAGCATCTAGAAAGATAATCGATACAGCAATAAATGGAGCGGAGTTTAATCAATAAGCTTTGGAATGCAATCAAAACGGTGAGAAATTGTAAGAAATGAATATTTTAGTGAAGCAAATCATCTAAACTCCTTTATTTTAAATTAACCGATTCAGAAATCTACTTCTGTTCCCATATAACACCACCACGATTATTTCTCGTACCATGCGTCCATTGACCAAACTCGAGAGGGTCATATAATTTTAGGACCAATTATACTGGCAACTTGCTTTCGTTTTAAGAGACAGCCAGTTCATTGTTCATGTTTAAAAAATGTCGTTAATGAATTTTAAATATTTGAATAATGTGCGCATATTTCATTGATAAATAGATTGTTTATGCAAGCACAAATGCTGGTATAATTGGCTATATAATTTTTTATTACAAAAATAAAATGAATAACATCAAAGTTGACTATTTTTCGTAAAAGTTTACAAAATTTGAAAGATTTCAAATAATTTTGAACAATTCATTTGATGCTTTTTGGAAATAATTATAAATTTAATAGCTAAAATTGACTTTTTTGTCTTCAAAGTAATACATAAAGATGGATGAATTGTTATTGTATATTCACGTTAATAATTTGTCATTCTGTTCGTAACTTCATGTTAATAATTTATAGACGTAATCATTAATTTAAAAAATTATCACCATTTTCTGAATACAGTTTGATCGATGCTAAGTTTAGTATGCATTTCTGATTTTTTTCTAACCTAATTTGTGAACTTTTTTTTCTAAAGTTATGTGTGTATCTTTTTTTAATCAACTAATTATTGGAATAATTAATACTGTAACAGTAATATTATGTATTGAAGAAATGAAAATTTTTAGAGTATTTATTATTTTATTTAATATATTTAAAAATGATACAAAAAAACTTTGTTGCAAATTTCTAAAAATAATTTAGTAAATGTTTGGAAGGATATGTGAAAATCGAAAGGGAAGTTAATATGAATCACTGAGTTGTGTCCACAAAAGCAATGTTTAGCAAAGATTAGATAAACCATTCGGTGTTACCTACAATTTCCTTCGTTTGCTTCGTTTGCATACATATTTAAAGGATAGGAAATATAAGTAAACTTGTCCAGTACTGGTCACTTACTCGCTTGTCCAGTACTAGTTACTTACTCACCAATAACTCCTTGCTATTTCATTTTCTGTACTAGTTTTGAATGCACAAATAAAATGTTCCGTATTACTTTTTACTTGTTAAACTTTAGCTTGTTCTAATTAGTTTTGTAAATCTTAAGCAGCTAACTAATTTTGTAAAGTTTAATGTGCTATTTCAGTGATTTGTGTGATCTTCATAAGTTTACTTACTGTATAATAATTAAAGTTTATTACGAGATTTTTACTAACTTTGCAAAAATCATTTATAATTTATATTTGGTTGAAAATTGTAATAATATCAATAATATAAATAAATTATTAATCTGAAAATTGAACTTAATCGCTTATTATGTGCAGAGTAATTGATATTTAGTTAATAAATTCTTACTAAATTTATAGAAAAAGATATTAAAAAAGGCGGTCGATATGATAATATTTAATAGAATTTGGTATTATCTAATTTTTTCGAATCTCATTTGCATTCTTGCCGTAACTGAAGCGGACGGGATTGTCAAAAGCACGTTATCCAAATAC